GGAGAGATGTCTTTATACTGGTACATGTACACCACCTGATCTTGTCATTAGAACATCAGGAGAAGTGAGATTAAGTGACTTCCTTATATGGTAGGTATTCTTTAATTAATTGATTAATTTATTATTATTAATAGAGCTCTTATTCTTGTCTCTGTTTTCAAGATGTGTTGTGGCCGGAGTTTTCCATTTGAAATTTATTCCTTTCGATATTAACATACCAACAAAATAATATAAAGGTTTGTTAGTAACTAATTGAATCCTATATAGCTGCATGTGTAGTGTACTGGTATGTCAAAACACTATAGAGGGGGAAGGGCTTGAATGAGCTCTGCTTTCATATGTAATGTGGTATATGTGACCATAATTGACAAAAGGGCCCTTATGGCTGATTTTAAAATTGATCTTAATAATGGCAAATATCAACCTGTAAGTGCTTTGTTAGACAATCATTGTTTCTAAAAGTTTCATGGTAACTTTTTGCATCCTGTGGAGTAATTTTATGATAAATGGGGCTCAGGAAGTTGGATTTCTTAGGCTAGAAAGACAAATTTCACTACCCGCCATAAGGTACCTTTTGTCAATTATGGTCACATATGTATATGGCTTATAATGACTGCAGTTGTGGATCTGTGGGTGTGTGAACAAGCACAGCTCCAGCTCTGTAGTGTGGGATGAACTGTATAGCAGGCTTGACACTGATACTGATAATATTATTTAGTATGTATGGCCTGACACTGTTAGATAATGTACATCTATAAATGTATACACTTTACCTGATACTACATGAGTAGGTAGCAAGAGAGTACATGTACATTGAGAGGAAGGACAAGCAGTATAAATCAGACAGAGATTGTGCATTACTACAATAATTATAAAGAAAGAGGAGGAGGAGGTGAACTATCAGAAGCAGTACTAGAAGAACTCATTAGTCATTATGATGCTGAGAGAAAAAAAAGAACTCAACTATTTGTACAATCATTGATCAAGAAAAGAAATAACTATCTGGAAACAGTATAACTGAACAATAATTGTCATTATGATTATACTCCAAATGATTATCAGGTTTATAATGTGAGAGTCAACATGGTCAAGTTATGAGAGATGAGATGGTCAAGACTCCATTTGATATTGATTTGAGTGTTTTTGATGCTATGAGTGACTCCATGCATGCTGTAATAGATTACGTGTTGCACTCAAAAATAATGTTATATACAAATGACAAAATGTCATACATTGAGCTCAAAACAGATAATAATAAATATTGTTAATATTAATTGTATGTTAAAGACATAAAACAGGTAGTTCAATGTTATATTTACTCTCTTGATCAGCTACAAACAAATATTCTTCATGTAATGGTACACTCACAGAAGAGGCTGCAGTCATCATAATTGGTGGAGGAGTAGAAGATATATTACTAGGAAATAAAGTAGTGAATTGGTCGGATCTACTGCTTCAGTTGGCCTCTCCATCATGTACTATGTAGGCTGGAGCTTACTGCACTGACAACTGGCAGTAGTATGCGTACAGTGTTTTTATAGCATAAAAATAAACCGGAAATTAAAGTTAAATTCTTCTAGGGCTGCCTGGGCTGGCATTTGAAATTAAAGGGAAATGTCAACCAAACCAGAGGAGCTGAAAAGAGCCTTTGACAGAGAACTTAGTGAGTAGATATTCATAACAATTGTTTTATTAGTATTATTAATGATAGATATTACTGATTTTCAATTTGTATGGGAAAAAGCTGGTGTTCTTTCAGGACGCTGGGACTCCATAGCTATCATGTTAGGATTGAGCTCTAATAAGTTATATGAGATTGAAGCAGGGGGCAAGCCACCAAGAACTTGTTTCTGGAAAGTATTTGATTGCTGGTTAAAGAAGGACTATGACTATAAGAGTCGTGGTGTCCCTACATTAAGAATGTTGTGTAACTCCATTAAAAGTAATAGTGGAGGAGCTGATCCAGCTCTAGCTAATGAAATAGCAAAAGAATATACCATTAATTTTACTAGTAGTGGAGAGGCTACTGCATCACTATTTGATACTTTATCTTCTAAAGGTAAAGTAAATATGTTACGATAAATCAATAATCTTTTTTATTTATTATTTCAGAAGCTACTCTGGCAACTGTTGAGCTTCCAGTTCCTACTTCACCTCAGTCTGAGTCTTCAGTTGTTTACGTTAAAAAGAAATCAATTGAATATTTACCAGAAAACCTGACAAGAATGCTCGAGGAGCTACGAGAAGTTTACCTTGATAATATGCGTTTTACTAAGGAAGCATTTCTTTCTATTGATGTCTCAGAAGTTATCGATTTCATTCAAGATTATATTGCACTTTTACTCAGTCCACGTTTTGATAAACCCCAAATGATTGAGTCAATTGAAAAAGAGTTTGACCATGTTAAGACAATGAATCAGCTGTTTAAAGCATTAAGAAAATACGTCTCTTGGTTCAATTTTGAACTTGTCATCAAGTTAGTCAATACTTTCATTACTGATGAGAGAGATTTACAGAGGAAGTGGTCTACATATCGTGAGAAATTAAAAGATTATTTTAAGAATAACAATACTAAAGCAGTTCAAATTGCTGACTCAATCGAGTTTGGTCTTTCTGATGTTCCAGGCACTAAAGTAATGATTGCTAAGGTTGCCAGAGACGACTACACATTAAATGATTTATATTTCTTTCACAAGCTGATCGCTGATGCACTTGAAGTTCCTCAATATAAATTCTATTTTTGTACCATTGATGATGGCTGCATGGAATTAAAATATTCCATTCCTGATTTTCTTTATTCTGTTCTCTTTCCATTAACTATTCAACAGTGTCATTCATTGGCTGAGATTGGAATCATAAAAATAACTTGTCATAAATATGTACATGAAATAAAGCAGGTGTGTTAATTATTGATTAATTATAGTTATCTTCTTTTATCATTAGTTGCCAGAAAATAAATTAAAGAAGCTTCATGATTCTCCTATTGGTAATTATTATTATTATTAACTTTATTTATGATATATTATATAGATATTTATGATCCTCTCTGGTATGAGAATACCAGCACTCCATTGAATGAAGCATGTTGGAGAGGATTAAAAGATGAAGTACAACGATTGATTGACAAGACTGGCCTTCAGGAAAGAGGTAAAAATGGATGGAGTCCACCATTAGCTGCTTCATATGGTGGCCACATTGATATCCTCTATCTCCTCATTGATGTTTATCATTGCGATCCTTCACAAGGTGATGATGATGGTGTTATTAGTTTACACATGGCCTCATATAAAGGCCATCTTAATATTGCACAGTATCTAGTTAATGAATGTCATGTTAATCCAGACATAGCAGATAGCTCTGGTAACACGGGATTGCTTTACTCAGCACTGGGTGGTCACGTTGACCTCGTAATTATGTTTTTAAAGAAGAAGTGTAACGTGTCTCAGGTGAATAGAGAAGGATCCACTTTATCATTATTAGCATGTAAGAGTGGACAGGTAGCATTAGTTCATGAGCTTAAGCAGTTTGGTATTTTCTCAGAAGATCACATAGATTTTAACGGATGTAGAATGGTACATTATTGTGCTATGAGTGATAGTGTAGAGCTTCTAGAGTATCTTTATAATAATCATAAAAGTGATTTATTTCATGAAAGAGATCGTTTTGGTGCAACACCACTCCACATAGCATGCCAGTATGCTTCATCAAGTTTCATAATGAAAATGGTTAATATTTTTGGATATAAAGTATTACTAGATGCTGATTATAGTGGCCGCTCTTCTCTTCATTACTTATGCAGTGGATTGGTTGATAAATACTGCATTACAGAAGTGTATAATAAGCTCATTGCACCATGTGATATACTTTTGCTTATCCAAGTTTCTACATTTAATGTGCTGGCAAAGAGTTTCTGGCATAAATATATATCACTAAATTTAAATGTTACTAAACAGCATAAAAGAGTGAGCCTTTTGTCCACACTCCTCAAGAAGACAAGCATTATTAGTAACTTCAATATAAATTCTGTTACTGCTACTGGTCAATCATTGGTTCATTTAGCATATACTAGTGGTTGTATATTATTAGTGAAGGTATTAGAGGAGTATGGTATTAATACAAGATCATTAGATTATGAGGGTCGGTCTGAAGTACATTATGCTGCTTTATCAGGTTCACCTACTCTACTCAGTTATACTGTATCTCAGTATAGCTTGAAAGCCAGTCAACCAGACTACAAAGGTGTAGTGCCATTAGCATTAGCTTGTGAGTCAGGTAGTATCAATGCAGTAGAATATATTATGAATACTACTGACATAGATATTAATATAACCTGTAATGAGGGTAGGACACCTCTTCATTATTCATGTCGCCATGGTAACATTGATCTGAGTCAATATCTCATTGAAGTACAAGACAGTGACATTAACATAACAGATAATGAGAAATGGAATGCATTAGATCATAGTGCTAAGAGTGGTAACATGAAGCTAGTCCAATACCTCATTAATAATCATCAATTGCCTCTCACTTCAATTGCATTACTTCAAGCAGTACGTAGTACTAAACTATTGTTGATTAAACTGTTAGTTAATATATATAAACTAGATCCTCAAGTTGAAGATGATGATGGTATTCAAGCAGTTCATTGTGCAGCTATAGTTGGTGCTATTGATGTCTTAGAGTATTTAATAAAAGATTGTGGTTGCGATTTGGAGAGAGTAGGTAGAACAACTAACATGAATGTGTTTCATTATTCTACATCAAATGGTCATTTTTCATTTATTAAGCATATTATTAATAATTATCCACAATATACTAGTCTATTACATTCTAATCATGATGATAACAATGCCCTACCAATTCATTATGCCTGTGGTAGTGGTGTAATGATACAACTAGTGACATTTCTAATTGATGTAATGAAATGTGATGTCACTTCTGCAAGTAAGGACGGCTACACTTGTCTCACATGGGCATGTTTGTCTGGTAATCTTGATCTTTTGAAGTTATTAATAACACAATACATTCTTAATCCTGGAATATTTATCAGATCATCACCAGAACTTGCAGTGGCATATGGCCATGTTCATATACTGGAATGGCTCAGACAAGAATATCGTATCAATGTAGTCTCATTCAACAATGGTTTATTACCTTTTTATGCTGCACAATACAACCGTTTGTATTGTTTAAAGCATTTAGTAAACAATTACTCATTTGATATTAATGTCATTTATCTTACTGATGTTACTCAATCTACACTCCTTCACATAGCATGTCAGAAAGGACATGTTGCTACAGTTCTCTACCTCACTAGTCTTCCTCAGTGTGACGTATCAGCTAAAACTTCAAATGGATCAACAGTTCTTCATTTATCATGTAAAAGTCGTTCCCTTCCTATACTCGAACATCTAGTGGAGGAGCATCAGTTGGATCTCACTATTAAAGATCACAATGGAATGGCTCCAGTTCATGTAGCCTGTGAAGAAGGATCACTGAGTATAGTCAAGTACATTATAGACCATTCACCATTATCTCTTGATATGATTGACTCTTTTGGACGTACTCCACTACTTATTGCAGCTTTCTCTAGGAACCTTCCCATCATTCGTTACCTCAACAGTAAAAACTGCAACATTTCTGTACTGGACGATAAAGGGTTTAATGTAATACACATATCAGCAAAGGGAGGGTCTTGGATATATGAGGTTTTGTG